TCCATGCAATTTCCCTTTTCTCTCCCTTTCCCTCCCATCTCATGACTCTGTTAAATGTTAGTCTTTTCTTCCTGCTCTTCCTCCTTGCTCTGTTCATGGTTGCTCTCATTATATCAAAGAAGACATTTGGTATTTGTTTTTTAGGGATTGACTAGCTTCACTAAGCATAATCTGCTCTAGTGCAGCATAAAAAAATGTTTATTTTTTTTTTTAAAAAATAGTTACTACAGTTCTTTGTCTTTCTTCAAATGCAAAACTAAGATAAAAATCTTCATTAATATCCAAAAGGTCTGGAATAAATTTAAAATTTCAAGAGATTTGTGAAAATAAAATATATTCTGAAAAGTTGGAAATGGGTAGGGAAAGGGAATATTCTAGATAATTTAAAAAAGTTGGTTCTTCAGGCTTCATACAGCTTACCAATGCTGTATTTTTTTATAAGAGCTATACTAAGATATAATTTACATACCATAAATTCATCCTTTTCCTTTTTTATAGCACTGAGGAGTGAACCCAGAACCTTGTGCATGCTAGGCAAGAGTTCAAAACCTGAGCTACCCCCAACCCCAATTCGCCCACAAAGTGTACAATCCAATATATTTTGGAATACTTATAGATGTGAACAAACATCATCACACTCAATTTTAGAACATTTTCATCTCCTCAAAAAGAAATCCCATACCTCTTAGCTATCACTTTTCCAACTTCTCCCCTTCATTTCCCAATCCCACTAATCTATTTTTTCTATAGATTTTCTTACTTTGGACATTTGATATAAGAATAATCATGTATGTGATCTTCTGTGACTGGCTTCATTCACTTAGTATGTTTTCAAGTTTCATCAATATTAGAGCTTATATCATTTCATTTTATTTCAAAGCTTTTTAAAGAACATATAAACAAATGTTGACATGTAAACAAATGTTAACATTTAAACAATTTTCATTTTAGTAAGCTGACTAAAAGGAATATAAGTTTTCCCTATTAAATTATTATTATTACTGCTATTAAATAAGAAGATATTCTGTGTTAATTCAGGGATACATATTGAAATCTGACTTTCAGAAATTAATTTTTTTAAAGAAATTAAGTTCTGATATCAGTTTTCACTAGCAATCTATCTTCATGTAGAGAAATATACAAAATATATAACTAAACTATCATGTAGTACACTAATCAGCTGTCTTTCCACAAAATTCACTATTCTTCTGTTTGATTTCAACTAAATCTTTAATTATCTTTACTTTAAATTTTTCATTACAAAAAGCCACCTGTTTTTGTGTCATTTTCAGTTAGTTTCAAGAATCTATAGTATGCTATGATAAATAGTGAATAAAATAAAATTAAGTTTTGATTTTCATTCTTAAGTGTGACTCTACAGATTCAGGCAATCCATTACTTCTTAATGGATCTATCTTAACATTAAGGTTAACTTTAACATTATTTAAACTGTTTTATGTTTATGTTTCCCACTGATTATCCCTACCACAATTAGCTAACTTTTGATTCTACTTCAAATGACTCAGAAACTATTATGAATTCTTAGACAAAACTGAGTCAAAATGCTTCTCTTTAGTCAATGACTGGCTAAAACTAACAGAACAAAAAACTTTGAATTTACAAAGTTGGAATACTAAACCAAGAGGAGAAAAAAAAAGACTAAGGAAGCAAAATATGTTCTACCTCAAACTCATTAAGATAACTACCACTTTAATTAAAAGTGTACAGCTGAGTACAGCTCAGTGGTGAAGTGCAGTATCTAGAATTCATGAGGACCAGGGTTTGATTACCAGCATAGCAAAAAAAAAAAGTTAGAAAATAACAGCTGTTGGGTAAGGATATGAAAAACTAGAATACCTGTCACTGCTAGTAGTAAAATGATATAGCCACTATTTAAACAGTGACAGTCACTAAAAAAGAGTCAATATAGAATTATTTTGTAATCCAGTAATTCTACTTATGAATACATCCCCCAAAAGAACTGAAAGCACAGATTCAAACAAATATTTGTCTTACATGTTCACAGGAAGACTAATTAGAATAGCCAAAATGTGGAAACAATTTAAGTGTTCATTGATGGACAAATGGATGAACAAAAGGTGAGACAGACACAAAAATATTATTCATCCTTTAAAACAGGAAAGACATTTTGGGCTAACCACATAGCCCAGTGTCAGAGCACCTGCCTCATATGTGCAAGAAAATCTGTCTGGGTTTAATCCCCAACATCACCAAAATAACCCACGAAATTAGGAAGGATATTCTGACATATGCTACAACTTTATAAATGAACCTTGAAAACATTATGCTAAGTAAAACAGGCCAGTCACATAAGAAAAAATATTGTATGATTCCACTTGCACGAGGTTCCTACAGAGTTAAATTCAGAATGGTGAATTAGAATGGTGGTTGCCAAAGGTTCAGAGGTAGGAGAAATGAGGGATTATTGACTAACAGGTATAGAATTAGAGTTCTGCAAGATGAAGAGTTTTATGAAAGGATGGTGATAATGGTAGTACTGAAGTGTACAGTTAAAAAAATGTTAAGATGGCAAATTTTATATAATGTGTATTTTATCAATTTTTTTTCAAAAAAGAATAAAAATGTCCCTTCTATATCAACCAGAACTAAGTCTGACCCTATTATAAAAAGTTACAGGAAATATTTTCCCAAACATTTTAAAAATTAATAAAAAAAGTATATTAAGCAACTTCTACATAAAAGTATAGGCAGAATTCTATCATTATTGTTCTACCGGTTCCCTTGCTGAGTCTTGGACATAGGGGCTAAGTAATCAGAGGAGGTCACAGAAGGCCACTTTTAGTGATTCCTTAAGCTATTCATTAGGTCCTAAACAGATTATATCTAGTGGCAGTTTATTTAGAAAAGGAACTCTTTAAATCCTAATATCTACAAAGAGAAGAAATAATGATCCATTAAAAGAAAAAGGAAGAAAAGTATAAGTTGATGAAATGTTAAAGATTCAAAAATTATTACCTCTTCCATTGTTTCCTCAATCTGAGCAGAAACAGGTTCAGGGGATCTCAGACCAATGGGAACAAACACTGGTGCCTTGTTTAATTCTTCTGGGGCAAGATGATAGTTTTCTTCTTCATAGTCAGATTCAAAATCTTCAGTATCATCTTCATCTTCTTCCTGGGAAGCCCGAAGAGTCACCAGCGTTGACTTGGAAGCTCTAGGTTCCTTCTTTGAGGTTTTACCCCGAGCTCGTTTTGATCCACGCCCTTTAGCAACATTTGGTTTGATCTTCCTATGTGTTCTCCTTTCACTATGATCTGTCTCACACACAGAGGCAGTACTTCGATCCAGAGCAATTTTGGAGGAATCTGATTCTTTTAACAATTGTGGACGGCTATATGTTTAATCAAAATAACAATATGGTCATATATGCAATAATTTAATGAAAACCAAGGTGTTGAGAGTGAAGTCTCAGTTCAGTCATTAAAACGAAAACTCCCACCACCAATTCTTTTAAAGACTTATGCCGTGAAAATAATAATTAACTACTACTTATTTCTCATTAAGAATTCTGCACAGTAATGTTTAAATTCTGGGCTATTTTTCCCCATTATAAGTGGTGGTAGAGATGAAATTTTAAAAAACTTGTAATTATTAGAACAAAAAGGGATAAAATACATGGAATAATTATAGACTGTGGGATCAAATAGTGATACTGATTTATCTTACTGGGTGAATAGTTTAGGTTAAAAGAAAAAGGGCAGACAAAAAAAATTAATCAGAGCAATGCTGTTTTTTAGAACTTAGGTTCCTTCCCACTTTCTTCAAAAACTAGAAAAGAACCGGGTGTGATAACACCTACATGTGATCCCAGCAGCTCAGGAGGCTGAGACAGGAGGATTGTGAGTTCAAAGCTAGCAATGGTGAGGCACTAAGCAACTCAGTGAGACCCTGCCTCTAAATAAAATACAAAATAGGGCTGGGGATATAGCACAGTGGTTGAGTGACCCTGAGTTCAATCCCCAGTACCCCACCCGACCCCTGCAAAACAACCACCTAGAGAAGGGTACCATTCATTCATGCTTAAAAATCTCATATGAATTAGTACTCTAATAAACATTACTCTTTGATCAGGCATTTGCTATTATCTAACAGACTTGACACCCACAAATTATATATCTGGGTGTACAACTGAAAATCAGAAAAAAGTAAAATGTAGTAAATAAACACTAAAATTAGGAAACAGACAAACTTATAAATAAAAAACAATCTCACTTCTGTTCATAAGCCATGTTTTTGCTCTAACAGTAATTTAAGGTAAGACACCTATAAAGAATAAGTGATTCTTATTTCCTACTCTATTTGTTAAAGAAAATATTACCTTGTTACTTTACTGAGATATTGCTCTTCTACAATTGAAGACACAAAATTAGTTCCTACATTTTCCAAAGAAAATATTACCTTGTTACTTTACTGAGATATTGCTCTTCTACAATTGAAGACACAAAATTAGTTCCTACATTTTCCTCTCCAACACTTCCAGATGGTCCAACTTCTTCTAATTGAGCATCTTTTTTGGCCAAACTAGATTCTCTAGAGCCTAAAAAATCTTTTCTTGCTGAAACCTCCATATATGACAGATTCTCCGCTTTTTCCTTAAATTTAAGATGAAAAAAAGGTAATATTACCACAGAAAGAATCTCTATGTAAATTTAACTGTTTGGCCTAGAACTCTAATAGTTCACAGATACATAGTGATCAGTTTTTAAATGTTTCATGAAAACAGTTATAGTATAAAAGTCAAAATTAGTCAGTTACCATGGCACACACCTATGATCCCAACTACTCATAAGGATAAAGTAAAAGGATCACAAGTCCAAGACATGGTGGCACACATCCATAATCGCAGCTACTCAGAAGGGTAAAACAAAAGGATCACAAGTTCAAGACCAGGCTAGCAATTTAGCAAAATCCTGTCTCAAAAAATAAAATGATCTCAGCTACCCAGGAGGCTAAGGCAGGAGAATTAAAAGTTTGAGGCCAGGCTTGGCAACTTAGCAAGACCTTATCTGGAAATAAAAAATAAAAAGGGCTGCGGATATAGTTCAGTAGTAGAGTACCACTGAATTCAATCCCCAGTATTGCAAGCAAAATAAAATAAAATAGGGCTGGGGATGTGGCTCAAGCGGTAGCGCGCTCGCCTGGCATGCATTGCGGCCCAGGTTCGATCCTCAGCACCACATACAAACAAAGATGTTGTGTTCGCCGAAAACTAAAAAATAAATATTAAAATTCTCTCTCTCTCTCTCTCTCAAAAATTAAAATAAAATAAAATAAAAAGGATTAGGGATGTAGCTCCATGTCAGAACAATTGCCTGCAATGCATGAGGCTCTGGGTTCAATTCTAGAACCACGCCAAAAAAAGTTAAACTAGTAAGGTGTGGTGGTACACACCTATACTCCCAGCTACTTGGAAGGTTGAGGCAGAAGGTTCACAAATTCAAGTGAGACCCTGTACTAAAATAAAATTTTGTAAAAGGGGTTGGGGATAATAGCTCCATTGTAAGAGTACTTGCCCAAGAGGAAGGCCCTAGGTTCAATCCCCAGTATTGCAAAACAAAACAAAATAAAATAAAAAGTCAAAACTGTATTTCACCAATACTCTCCTTCACAATTCTGACAGAAGAGAGCCTGCTAAAAGAAATTTTCCCCCAAAACTTACTTTTAGAAAGAAATGGATGTCAGAATTTCCTTGCTGTGGCAAATTATCTTCTTGTTTGCTTGTCTTACTTTGATATGTACCTTTTTCTATACCTGGTTCCTCTTTCTTACTATGTGCCCTTCCCAAATTTGGCTTAGACTTTTGGAATTTCCTTCTTATCAATTGTGCTGGAGTAGGAACATATGGTTTATTTTCATGTCTGAAAGGAAGTGTAAATCACATTGAAAAAATAAAATCAGAATTCCTTATTGATATAACAGCTATTCAATGAAGTTGGATACAAACCAATTCTAAATTCAAAGCATTATATACAAATTGGAGATAAAACCAAGTATGTAAAATAAACTCCTACATTGCTGATATAAAAGTAAAAGCATATAAGCTTTTATAGCTTCCATTTTATGTATATATTGGGAATATTTTTATAATATGTATCTTTTTTACTTTATTATTAATTTTGATGTGTAGTTTCATGCTGCTTTAAGTAATTTTTAGAGAAATAACTGAAATACCCAAAACCAGTAGCTGAAAATGATTTCATAATGGTACATCAAGCAAATGCCTTCTATTAGACTCTAAAGCCTACACAAATACACAATAACCACGTGGGCCTTCTGGCTCAAAAGCAGGCTTGAGGTTAAGAATCTATTTTTCTGCCATATTTCTGAAGGCTCACAGAAAACGTGAGGCCCTGGGTTCAATTCCCAGCACTAGGGATGGAGTGGGAAGGAGAATACAACTCTCACAGAAAAGGGTTTATTGACAGTCAATGTTGTAAGATTTTTAACTTAATCCATTTGTATATGCCATATCAGACAAGGTTTTAACATACAGTAGTAGAATCACAGCTTTTAGGACAACCCAAATATCAATCTTATGGTTTCCCAGAAATATTTAAGCAACTGGCAAGGAACTAAATTAAGAAATATAAAACCTAACATAAATTTTGTTATATGAGTTCTCTAAAATATTTGTATTCAAAAACTAATCTGGGGCTGGGATTGTAGGTCAGTGGTAGAGTGCCTGCCTAGCAAGTGTAAGGCATTGGGTTAGATTCTCAGCACCATATATAAATAAATAAAATAAAGGCCGATCAATAACTAAAAAAAGATACATTTTAAAAAAAACTAATCCTAAGAACATATTTAAATAAAATATCTAGAAAACAAAGTACACAGACATTTCCAAATATACCAATCTTACAAAGTTCTAGTAGTAAAACACCAAGAAAGTTCACATCCTGTTTAAAAAGATACAGTTCTGGCTAATGCATGCCAGTATAAGCTAAAGTATTTGGGAAAACAAGTTATATTTAAGTTAACTTAAATAAGTTATACTATAAGTTATACTACAGCTTTATCAATTGTGATTTTGCAAAGATATTGAAGAAGAAAAATACATAAATTCAACGTGCTTCTGAGATGAAAAGAAACAACAAAACTAATATTAGACATAAGAATAAGCTATTTTAAAACTAAAAAATTTCAAATTTTACAAGTAAGCTGAGATAATTTCTCTTGGCTACAGTACAGCAACAGTTGGTATAAACTTTATGATCTAGAAAAAGTTAAAGATTAAGACAGGGGACTGGGGTTGTAGCTCAATGGTAGAGTGCTTGCCTAGCCCACATGAGGCACTGGGTTCAACCCCCAGCACCACATAAAAATAAATAAAATAGCCGGGCATGGAGGTGCATGCCTGTAATCCCAGCAGCTTGGAAGGCTGAGGCAGGAGGATTGCAAGTTTGAAGACAGCTTCAGTAATTTAGCAAGGCCTAAGCAACTAGGTGAGACGGTCTCTAAATGAAATACAAAAAAAGGGCTGAGGATGTGACTCCTGAATTCAATCCCTGGCACCCGCTCCCCCAAAAAGAAATACTGATATTAATGATAAATAATATAAAGATATTGTATCCATATACCACTTAAAAAATATATTTTTAAAAAAAGAAAGAAAAGGCACGGGATTGATTTCTACACAGGAAGTCTTAATAGTTACAATTCTCTCATTAAAAAATACAAAGGCTAAACTGGGCATGACTGTAATCCCAGCAGCTCAGGAGGGTGAAGCAGGAGGATTTCAAATTTAAAGCTAGCCTGACTGTAATTTAGCAAGGCACTGAAGAACTTGGCGAGACCCTGTCTCTAAATAAAATATTTAAAAAGGGCTGGGGATGTGGCTCAGTGAGTTAAACGCTCATGGGTTCAATCCCTGGTACCAAAAAAAAAAAAAAAAAAGGCTAAGCATATTTGAATCATGAAAAGCTTCTTTCAGGAAACACTGTTCATATATAGTAGAAGCTTACCAATCTGAAAGTCATAAATCCTGAAAAATTAAATTTAAATTCTAAATTGCCAATATTACTTTAAACTATTTAAGTCCTCCAGGTCTACTTAGTCAATTATAGATGAGAACATTAAGAGAAACCGACCTTGAAAGTCACTAATACGTAAAAGCCCACTAGAATAAATATCAAAATCCTCACAGTGTCTCTACACAACCTATCTTGATCATCCAGCCTTTAACTCTGCTATGTCTACCACTCCTTGCTCTCACTCTGGTCCACATTGGCCTTTCTGCTGTTTCTACAAACATGCCAGGCATACTCTGAGTACTTCTGAATTGCTGTTCCTACTTCCTGGACATTCTCTTAACCTATTCCTTCACTTCTTTTATTTATTTATTTATTTATTCATTTATTTATTTATTTATAAATTTTTTAGTTGTTGGTAGACCTTTATTTTATTTATTTATATGTGATGCTGAGAATCTAACCCAGTGCCTCATACATGCCAGGCAAGTGCACTACTGCTGAGCCCCAACCTCAGTCCCATGTTCCTTCATTTCCTTCATGTCTCCAATGGTACTCCTTCTCCAGCACTTTTTATCTTTCTCTAATTTATAGTTATTTATTCAAGTTATTTCTCTTGTTTGTAATCTGTCTCCTCTATTCAAAATAATCTTCACAGTGACAAAAATTTTTGTTTCTTCAGTCTCTTATTATCAGCACTTAGAACAATGTCTGGAACAAAGAGGACACTAAAATATTTGTGAAATAAATGAACAAGAATAAGGTCATGAAATTCTGTCAGATCAAAACCAGATTAAATTATATACAGAAAAGAACAACATAATTAGTAACTAGGAGAGTCAAAGATGTAAACAGGTTCATCTTTAAAGTTTGGGAGAAAGTGTTTCCTAGAACCATTAAGGGAAATTAATTATCAATTCTCCTTGGAATCAGTCATCAACCTAATCCAATAGCATTTCTGAAACAAGTGTATTTGTAATACACTTTAGTGAAAAAAACACTACTAAGCATCAGTGACTTCATTTAAACATCGAATTATTAAAAAATGAAGAAATGGCTTACCCATTTCTTAGACATTTCATTAAGAATTTGAAATTAATGGAAAGTAAAAATTGACCTTAATCATAAAATGAAAAGACTATCAAGAAAAGAAAAAGTAAACAAAATGAATCCATACTAAACCAATAAATGTTTTACATTAGAAACCTATTCCAATGAAAGCAAACTGTTTAAAACAACCTAAACTCAACAGCACCCTGTGTTCATAAAGATGACATAACATGGTTAAATTTTTTTTCTATGACTTCACTTAGCTAGAGAGTAAAAAGATATAATAATGTCTCTTCTGCATTACCTCCACCCCCACCCCCCACACAAAACCACTATCACTCCATAATTAAAAAACACTGGACAGTCAAAGTAAACCCATAGGTGCTGAAGACATCCTAGAAGAAAATGAATAAATATTTCGCTAAAACATACTCTAGTTATAAAGATAACATCATAAATTATATGGATCATGAATTATATTCAGAAAGGAAAGGTGTTTTTTACTAAAGAAGCTAATACTCCTACTTTAATACTAGTAATAAAGCAGACTGCAAGAAATATGTAAAAGCATTAATGACAAAATATCTACTAACTGCAACTTATTTAAACTCATTTTACCATTTGGCTTAGATGTAGTTACCTCTAAATAGAGTATCTAGTAAGTACTTCATAGCACTTATTAAGTCTGATTTTTACTTATAAATTTCTAAAGATACAAAGGAATCCTTTAAGTATTTTTTAAAAATAAAGCAAAAGAAAAGAACCTTAAAATTTAACAGTTTAGCTTTAATGACAAAACTAAGGATAGCTGCCATCATTCAGATTATTAACAATGTGACTCTTAAAAATATATAAAGAATTAAATTTAAAATACTCTAGTTCATCCAGGCATGACAGCCAACACCTATAAACCTAGCAGTTTAGGAGGCTGAGATTAAGAGTATTCAAGTTCAAAGCCAGTTTTCCAACTTAGTGGAGCACTAGGCCTGTCTCAAAAAATAAAAAGGGCTGGGAAAGTGGCTAAGTGGCTAAGTACTCCTGGATTTAATCCCCAGTACCAAAAAATAAAAAACCTTCTAACTTAATTATTACTTTATCCTTTCATAAAATTTTCAGAATACAAAGTTATATAAAATTATGCAAAAATCCAAACAATGAAAACATTTATGCTTTTCTCATTAAAAGCAAACTTACCTCATCTTTTCATCTAAAATATTTCTTTCATTAACATGAAGGTTTTCTCCAAGAACCACATGACTTTGATTTTCATCCATTCTGCATTCTGAAACTTTGGAGGATACAGCTTCAATTTCAGTTTCAAGTTGAGAATTTGACTGAAAAGATAAAACCATATTAATGTATGTATGTGTTTATTTTACAGCAGAACATACCTCCCAAAATATTTCAATCATTAAAAAGGCTATCTAGTTTAATTTTTTCTTTTTTTTAGTTGTAGGTGGACACAATACCTTTATTTTATTTATTTATTTTTATGTGGTGCTGAGGATCACACCAATGCCTCACATGTACTAGGCAAGTGCTCTACCACTGAGCTATAACCCCAATCCCCAGGTATCTAGTTTTTGTTTTTAGCTTTTGGTACTAGAAATTGAACCCAGGGCCTTTTATCACTGAGTTATATCCCCAAGCCAAGGTATGTAGTTTTGTAAAATTAAGATTGAATAATGCAGCCCTCCACCCCAAAAAAAGGCAAAAAACTTATTACGCAGAATATATTACAAAAAAAATCAGTAAAAAATAAAATTAAGATTCAAACTGGGTAAGTGATGTTCATGTTTTGTTGTGAAAAACAAGACTGGCTAGGTCAGAAAGAAAATTACAATGACTATCACAGTAATATGTTTAATGCTTGAAAAACTACAAAAAAAAAGTTTAACAGATTTTTTTTTAAGTATTTTGGCTCAAATAAGGATTATTATAATCATATAATCACTTTAAATCTAGGTTTTCCCTTATTACAGGAAAAATAAGGACTACCTGAAATAGTTTTAGGCATTATACTACTTAGTTTTTTTTCTAATATCAAAAGATTTACTAAGAGATTTCTTAAATTATCATTCAAAATAGCATTGTGGGCTGAGATTGTGGTTCAGTGGTACAGCGCTTGCCTACAATGTGTGAGGCATTGGATTCAATTCTCAGAATCACGTATAAAGTAATAAATAAATAAAGGTTCATCAACAACTAAAACAATATTTTAAAAACCCACAGTATTGTCACATAGCAAAAAGGGTTTAAATCCTATTTCCTGATATAAAAATCCAATTATAATATTAAGTGTGCGCATAAGTGTGCATGAAGATTAATTCGGTAAGATAGGTCAAAAGATTCTCAGTGGTTATCTCAGGTGTTGACACGTGAGGTTTAATATTACTTTGTTTTGATTAAACATTTCACGTAAGTGTCATTAGTTGGGCAGGTAATGTCTTTTCGGTTTAAAAAAAAAAAAACCTGAAATAGCAAATCAAACAAAATTGGGACACATTATGTATTCACTAGGGAGAATAAGGGTGAGATGACTATATTCTACTTCAAGCCTGAGCTATCACTTGATGTTTTTTGTTTTGGGAGGTTCCAGTGATTGAACTCAGGGGCCCTGGACCACATATCCCAGCCCTATTTTGTATTTATTTAGAAACAGGGTTTCAAAGCTGGCTTTGAACTCCTGATCCTGCCTCAATCTCTGAGCTGCTGGGATTATAGGCTTTCCACACCAGACTTGATGTTTTAATATGCATTTAAAAGGATCGATTTAGTTATATGATAACTCACCATTGTCAGGGACTTCTTATTACTTTCATTTTTTTGTAGTAATGATCTTTCTTCCTTAATTATGCCTTTGGCTTCATCATTTTCTACTATTTGCCTGTGTCTAGCCTTTCTTATATTTGGTTTAGGTCTCTGAAGTCGGCCCCTCACTGGTCCAGAACTTTGGATAACACTTTCCTTCACTTCTTGTGGGAAAGCTTTAATTTTAGGAGTCCTGTAAAAGAATAGGAAGAAAGAGAGAAGGCCTGATAGTAAAAAGTTGAAAACCATTGTAAAAATATGTAATTTAAACCTCTTGTAAAAGCCTCTATAAAAAATACTTCTTACCATTAAAGGAAAATGACGTTTTTGATTATAAAAATATTTCAGAAAAGTTATAAGGGAAGTTAATGCTTAATGGGTACAGTTTCAGTTTGTAGGGGGAAAAAAACAAAAACTAAAAAGTTCTAGAGATGGATGATAGTAATGACTACAGAATAATATAAACATACTTAATGCCTCTGGTATGTATGCCTCAAATTGGTGAAAATGGTAATGAATTTATAGCATATATGTATTTTTAAATGAATTTCTTTGTAGAGAATCTTAAGTAGGGGTGGGGTTGTGGCTCAGTGGCAGAGTGCTTGCCTAGTATGTCTGAGGCACTGGATTCAATCCTTAGCACCACATAAAAATAAATAAATAAAATAAAGGCATGCTGTCCATATATTTAAAAAAAAAAAAATCTTAAGTAGTTAACAGTAGAGCATTAAAATGTCAATCTGAGCCAGGCACGATGGGGCATGCCTATTATCCAGGAGACTCAGAGGTTAAGGGAGGAGAACTCCCAAGTTTGAGGCTAGGATCAGCAACTTACCAAGGCCCTAAGCAACTTAGTGAGACCCTATTGAAAATAAAAATAGAGCTCAGTCATTAAGTGCCCCTGGTTTTAATCCCCAGTACCAAAAAGTACCAAGTTGAATTCAATTTTATTTTTTATGTAGACAGTGTGCCATATCAATTAAAATAAACCAAATATTCTTTATATTCCTTTTTAAAAAACATTAGCACACTTAAATAATAATAAAAAAATTTTCAAAGAAATGTCTCTTAGATTTTCAAGGAAATATCACTATTTACCCCGTAGGAACAACTAATTCATTTTCCTGTGTTTGTGTTGACTGAGACTCCTCTTTAGGTTCATGAGAATTTGAAGGTGAAGTGTCTTTTTCAGTCTGTATACTTGGTAATGTAACAGTCTCCTCCTTCTTGTGACCCGATTTATCTTTTTCTTTTGATGTTATTGGGGAAGCCACATCCTGGAAGGCAGAAAAAAGAAATCATCCTGAGTTGGTAAAAGTATAGGGAAATGAGACCAACGCAGAAGGATCTCAAGTCCAAGGCCAGCCTGGGTAACTTAGCCAGACTCTGTCTCAAAATAAAATTTTTTAAAAGGGCTGTGTATATCAGAGGCAGAATGCTCCTGGTTTAATTCCCAGTATCCATTCCCGCTAAAAAGTATAGTGAAACAAAAGCTTTCATACACCACTTGAAGTAGAAGACAATGGGGCAGTTATTGATCAAAAATTTAAAGTCCCAGCAATTCCACCTCTAGAAATTCATCTTAGGAGCTGGGGATGTGGCTCAGTAGTAGAGAACTTATCTAGCATGTGTGAGGCACTGGGTTCAATCCTCAACACCACACAAAAATAAACAAATAAAAGTATTGTGTCCATTTATACTTAAAATATATAAAGAAAAACAAAGAAAAGAAAGAAAGAAATTCATCTTATAAAAATACTCAAATAGGGCTGGGTTGTAGCTCAGTGGTAGACCGCTTGCCTAACACATGAGGCACTGGTTCAATCCTTAGCACCACATATAAATAAAATAAAATGTGAAAATACTCAAATAGCTGGGCTTATTGATGTATCCTATAATCATCCCAGCAACCTGGGTGGCTGAAGCAGAAGGATCCAAGTTTGAGGCTAGCCTCAACAACTTAGCAAGACTCCAGAACATAAAAAAGACCAGACATGTAGCTCAGTGTGTAAAGCACCCCTGGGTTCCATCCTCAGTATTCCCTTCCAACAAAGTACCTATGAGCAAATATACAAAGATACTTCTTAGAATAATTTAATAGCCCCCACCCAGCCCCAAACAAACAAGATATTGGACATACAACAGATCTATGAGTGGGAGATTATATAAACTTTAATTTCTTTACAATGCAATATGACATAGACATTTAAAAGACAAATTTTACCAGACATGATGGAACACACGTATAATCTCAGCTACGTGTGAGGCCGAGTCAGAAGGATGGCAAGCTCCAGGGCAGCATGGGGAAACTTATCAAGACCTTGTCTCAAAATAAAAATTTCAATAAAGGTCTGAGGCTGTAGCTCAATGGTACAGCACTTGTCTAACATGCACAAAGACCTAGGTTCAATTCTCAGTACCTCCAACAAAGACATTTCTCTGTATTGATCCAAAGAAAATGTTCACAGTATTGTGTTAAGTAGAAAAATCAAAAGGCAAGAATGACGCCATTTTTGAAAATAATAAAAATACTTGTATATTACTTTATAAATAGCTACACAGAAAAGTCTAGGAACAAAAATGCAAAGCTGCTATATGATTAATTGGGATGGAGGGATGAGACATTATAAAGGACTCTCACTTTTTAGAACATAGGTATTTTTTTCCAAGTTAAAATTCTTATAATCGGAAAAAATAATAAAAAAGTAGTTTATCTTTTATAAACATAAGGTCAGGAAAAATATAAATACTAATGCATAATAAAGAACTAAACTACTTTAAGATGCCATGTAAGAATTTTAATTCTTGTTATGGACTATATACTGATACTCAAATTCATACCAAGTTTTTAATTTTTCATTTCACCTTCACAACAGAGTAAAATAAAGCACTATAATTCCCATTTTCCTAGAAGAAATCTGTTACATCATTTGGCTACAGTTGCGAAGCCTGTTTTGGTTTAGATATGAGGCATCCCTCAAAAGTTCATGTGTGAGACAATGCAAGAATTTTTTAGGTAAAAAGAGTTAGAAGTGTAGCCTAATCAATGGATTAATCCATTCTAAGTATTATCTGGGTCAAAACAGTAGACAGGCATGGTATGACCGAGAGGAAGGAGGTCACTGGGTGCATACCTTGGAGTTTACATTTTGTCCCTAGAGAGCAGCACACTGTCTCTGCTTCCTGATTGCCATGTCCTGAGTTGATTCCCCCCACCATGTCATTCTTCTATAATGTCCTACAAAGCTAAGGATCTGGCCAACCAAGGACTGAATCTCTGAAACCATGAGCCAAAATAAACTTTATCCTCTTCTATGTTATTCATGTCAGGTCTTTTGGTCAGTGACAAAAAGCTAAGGGCTAGGGATATGGTTCAGTGGTATAGTGCATGCACAAGGCCCTAGGTTCAATCCCTAGCACAGAAGTGGGGGTGTGGGTGGAGAGCTAACTAAAACATAGCCAGAACCTCAACTTCCTATGACACATTAAGATTCCTACACAAACTCTGCAGAATAATGAGGCACATTAAGCGTGGGAACGTAATCATACAAAATAAAAATTATATGAAGAAACTTACAACTATAGTAACTAACCCCCAAACCACATACACAAGCATCATCTCTTCTTTTCTACCAGGGATTGAACTCAAAGGCACTTAACCATGGAGCTACATCCCTGGCAATTTTTATTTTGAGGCAAGGTCTCACTAAGTTGATTAGGACCTGCTAATTTGCTGAGGGTGGCCTCAAACTTGCGTCAGCCTCCTGAGTTGCTGAGATTACAGGCTCGTGCCAACGCACCCAGCTCCCACAACCTCCATCTTAATCACTCACATGTTGAGAAGGGAGAGTACTAGCTTGTTCACTGTCCTGCTGTATCACAGTGGTCTCTACTTCATCAGTTTCCAACTTCTTCCCATGTACATATTTTTGTGCTTCTGCAGTCTCTTTCTTTAAAGCTGCTCTTGTTAAATTTGGTTTTGGTCTTTTTAATAGGCTTCTCACAAAAGGTGCTGGTTTAACTTCAAGTGCCTTCTGTTCTTGAAGAAGAGATCTGCTTTGGAAACAAGGATTATCAAACTTTAGAATGAACTGAAGGGGCAGTGCAAGTGGGGTTGAAGGACAAACTTAGCAATTAGCAGTAAACATTAAAACCTAATTCTTTTTTTAATTATTTACTTATTCTAATTTGTTATATATAATGGCAGAATGCAATTCATTTCATATTACACATATAGAGCACAATTTTTCAAGTCACTAGTTGTACACAAGTATTTTCAGACCATTTGTGTCTTCATACATGTACTTAGGCTAATGATGTCTAACTCACTCCAATGTCTTTCAAATACTAATTCTTAACAGGAAAACAAATCAACTTATTTGGTAGATTCCAAAAACCAAGAGTAGTACAATCCAGGCATGAATCTAGGGAATTACATTATCATTATACAAAGAAAGCAGTTTGTAAAACCTATGTTGACTTAGGAGTAGGTGGTCTGTCAATTTTATACATGATAGTGATTCTTACAAGCCAGTGTCAGAATGACCTCAATCCCTAGTCTTCTAAAAACTATTTAAAAATCTCTAACCCTATCCCGTATGTTATGCCTTGAAACCTTAGTTTGACATAATCTATAAATAAAACTTTATATGCTTTTTCTTTAAAAGCACTTCGACCTTTATAAACTTATACCTTAAATTAATATCTGAAAATTGTTCTGGAACATCTGGAGGTCTTATCTCCTGGTCTTCTATTTCACCAATTTCAGAAGTTTGTGAAGAAGTCTTCAAATGGCAGGATGCCTCCTTTTCGGAATTTCTGTTTTCTTCTGTAGGTATATGCATCACTGATAATACTTCACTGCTAATATTCTAAAGAAATAGTTACAGTAAATGAGTACATACACATTCTACAAGCATTTCATACATTACAAACTTCAAATGTCTATTGTCTTCTAGACACTTTCCTTTAAAACTTTCGTTCTTAATTTCTAAATAAAATTTAACATACAAATGTTAAAACCCAGAACCAAGGAAAAAGTTTTCTTTTTATATTGTGCATTCGGATTTTTCCAAACCACAAGTGCCATTATCTAACCAAAAAAAGGTCAGAAAAAGAGGCTGGGGCTGCAGCTGGGGCTCAGCAGTAGCATACTTGCCTGGCATGTGTGAGACACCAGGTTTGATCCTCAGTATCATATATAAATAAATAATATAAAAGTCTATCGACAACTAAAAAAAAATTTTTTTAAATGTGTATTTAAAAAAAAAAGTCAGAAAAAAAATTCTTAAAAAAAAGGATGAACTTCAATTAACATGAACAAGATTAAATTTTCAACAAAAGAAACTTAGAGGTAAAGTAATTCAGGTAGAGCAGTAAATAAAGAGAAATATAGACACAAATATGGCCAAAATAAAAATTTCAGCATATGTTCACACTCCTTTTATTTAAAAAAAAAAAACCCTTCAAATAGTTATTAAAAATTTGTTCGGCATGGTGCCGTATGCCTATAAAAATAGTGACTATGACTACAGAGGCTGAGACTAGAAGTGGAAGATCTCAAGTTTGAGGCCAGCCTCAAAACTTAGTGAAACCCTATCCCAAAATAAAAATTTAAAAAGAAGAAGAGGATGTGTCTCAGAGATAAAGTGTGTCTGGTTTCAATCCCCAGTATCTAAACTTTTTGTTTGTTTTGTTTTTTAAAGAACACAGTTTTTTAAGGTCCAAAATATAAAATTTTAAGACTGGGAAAGACTTGCAACTTTTAGAGATTTAAAGTGTTGTTGGATTTTTAAAGTCAATAATCTTGGAATTATTTTGGTAACTTTGACCTGAAAAAATTATTTTTAAAAAACTTAAAGGACAAAAAATACATACTTTTATATCTAGTGAAGGTACGGTACTGGTGTCACCACTACTGCTCTGTATTACATTTGCTTCAGTTTGCTTTGAAGTACTGGATTCCTCTGATTCATTTTCCGTTGGAGAAATGTCTGTTTTTCCAGTTTTTTCCAAATCTGCCACCATTTCCTCAGTAATACCCATCTTTTCAGATCCTCTCTTCCCCAAGGAATTTTTTCTTCCAGTATCTTTCAAATCTGCCTCCATTCCCTCAGTGGCAATCATCTCTTCTGATATGGTCTCCATCGGGGAAATGTCTCTTCCAGTATCTTTCAAATCTGCCTCCATTCCTTCAGTGGCAATCAT